TGAGAATTTGTGAATGAAGTTTAATTATTTTTGTTAGAAATACTAGATCTAAGTTTTATATTTAGTATTGTATTATTTTGATAAATTTTAAATTTTCATTATTTATTAAGTATTTTATAAAAATAATTATTTTACTTTAAAAGTACGATTGCTTTTTAGAAAAATCAGAGACAGCTAATATTTTTAAGTTTATGATAGTTTGTTGTATTAATTATGCATTAAGAACTTGATATTTTTATTCTTTCTTTTTAATATATATGCAGAAATATTTTTCAGAACTCGTTAAGTGTAAATTTTTTATTGAAATTAATGGGAAAAAAAATTTAAATATTGTAATTAGATATTGTTTTATGTATTTTTAATTTTTTTTTTTTTTAATAATTATCTTAAAGTTATATTGAGAATGATTTATATAATTTATTTACTTTAGTATTGTCCTCCTTGCTACTTAATTTATGAGTTATTCGATGTTTGTGATTCGATGTTACATATATATTTTAATGGGAGAAATTACTTGATAGGTAAGTTATTTGCCACGCCCTGTTACGACTTCCTGTCGCGCATTTAAGTTCCGGCAGCTTTCAAATCTCTGTTGAAAGCAATTTTGATGCACTAATAGTGACGTAAATTCAGCGTAATGGCAGCGGATATTATATATAATATTAAAGGAATTTAATGCGAATTAACGAATTTAGAAAATACATAACATATTAATATCGAAATAAATCATATATATTTTTACATTTGTAATATACACAATGAATACCATTCGCTGAATACACAATAGTACGTACATAACTTATTAATAAATAAGTCGAATTTACGAAAAACAATTGCCACTTGCTTACCTTATTACTCTCATTTTCTCTCTTTTTCAACTCATTCATTTTTCTTTGTTTCTTTTTATCTATTTATTTCATTTTGTAGCTTTTTATCGTTTTTATTCGTTGGCCTTTCATTCTCTCATTTTGTTTTTTTGTTGTTGTTTTTTTTTTTTTTTTTTTTGTTGATAAACACGTACGTATTTTCTTCTTTCTGTTTGCTGCTGACAAAATGCTTTGTATCTTAAGCAAAGGGAAATCAATTTACCTAATCTCTATCTTTCCTTTTTCCATGCAAACGAGGATTCCACAATTCGTGCGTCAATTTGTTCCTTCTTTTACTTATCATCGATCTGCACTTCCGATAGTGTTATTTCTACTCGAAATTATGAAACTTAAGCAATAGATTTTAATAAAAAAACCATTTTACCTCATACTTTGTACGTTATTGCTAAAGTCTTGATAATCGAATTGTAAAATAGCTTGTTGTTTAAGGCAGAGCTCATAATTTGCTTTTGAATGGATTTACTTTGTACATATGATTCTTGAATTTTATCATCGTTATTTCTCTGCGACATCAATAAACAGTGAGAAAAATTCAACGAATTAATATAAGTAATATTAATCTAAGATACGATCCAAAATTTACGTATGGTCATCGGAAGGACATCAACAAGGAAGAGTGGCAAATCTTCCTTCCGAAACATGTAATCTTTGCTCAACAATGTCTCAAATTTGAGGCATACTTTAAGCAAAGCACCTTCGGCTCTGACAACGAGTGTTACCGTGTACGACGTGTCAACATTTTCTTTTATCTTGAAGATGATACGATGGCAGTTATAGAACCACCAGTGAAAAATGTCGGCTTCAAGCAGGGAAAATTAGTCAGCCGGGGTAAAATACTCAAGTCGAAGAAGCCGCTCACGTATTATCATTGGAAGGATCTGAACATTGGTTTGGACATCGGTAATTGTACAGAAATATTATTATTATTTCATTAAAGCTTATCAATATTTATGTATTAATTCAAATATTTAGTTAAAACTTAAGTTACATAAACGAATCATAAACAAATCGTAATATTTATTAATAATTCTACCTAATATTATTCATAAAATAGATATTTTGATATTGATTGTTAATTGCTGACTAATAATACTTGTGCATTTATTCAGGCATCTAAATATATTTTATATTTGTATATTACAATTATAGAACGATAGCTTTAATTCTGAATTAGATTTAAATCTGAATTAGATGATAATAAGTAAAAATCTAAAGCTTGCAAGATCAGAGTTCAAGCGAATATTGAAAATTTGAAAATGTATATTTTTCAAAATTCTCATTAATTTCACAAATAAATACATGAAAGTCTATACTATCAAATAATCATTACGTCTTTCAAAAGTATCAATTATTAATTTATTAGCGTTTTTTTAAACAAAATTTATAAAAAAACAAATATGTGAATATGCTATGAAAAATATTTCTAACTTTCAATTTTATAATTGAATTCGTAACTGATTGTGCAAAGTGCTATTTTCTAAACAAAAAATTTAATTTTTGGTTTATTTATCGCTTTTCAAAATTTAGTAAGATTTTCTTCAAAACTTGATAAAAATTGTGTAAATACGGTTAGTAATTCAAGATAAGATTTAATTTCTTATAAAGCGTGTAGGCTAATTATAAGTGAAACATTCATTTAACAATATTTAACACTTAAAAATATTATTTTGCGATGCCTATATTAGATAATTAAGAGAGATTCAATTAAGCGCTTGAATTTTCTATGGTTAAGAATTGAGGATGTTCATAATTAGTCCTTATCTAACAGTAATATCTTAATTTAGAAATATTTCTAAATTATTGAAAATTCAACTGAAATTTAATGAAAAATTTTCAATTTTCTAGAGAATTTTCTTTATTCAATTATGTACAAGTGCAAAATGTTACATTTTATTTTGATTTATGAAAACAAGCATTGCATTTATTACGTTAAAACTATATGTTCAATTTATTTCTAATTAAGGAACAAGTGAAAAAGAATTTTTTCATAAAAAAATATATCAGTATAATGTTTTTTATTATTATGACACAAATTTTATCAAAGTTCTCTCTTTAGAGATCAATTTCTTATATTATTTTGTATGAAAAGTAGAAAATATTCAATGTATTTGCTACTTGTAACAACAACAATAACAGCAATAATAATGATTATAACAATATCAGTAAAAAAGTAATAATAAAATCAATTATTAATTATAATATTCAACAATAATATTAATTGTAATAAATAGCAATTTGATATATATTAATATTTTTGTAGGGACTTAAATTTCATTGCAGCCATCAAAAATTTTAAATATTATAAATTAATTATTCTTAATATTAGTAAATTTAGTGGATATAAATCTTATGAAATTTAAACATTACCCATTATTTTTCTTGTAATCAGTAAGTGAACTGTGCATTTAATGCAACTTGAATACTAAATTTGAATACTATAAATTCGATAATTCAATTATTATATTGTTTGTTTTTTCGCGAATAAAGTTAAATTTGACATTAAAAGATGCATAGACATCAGTAAGATAAATACAATAAAATTAATTCTTGATATTATTATAAATTAGTGTGAAAAATTTACAAAAAATTGTTTTATAATATTTACACTTCGATTACTGTTGGTTATATAGGGGATATTATTCTTTAAATAGTAGCTTTGATGTATTATTATTTAATTAAAACATAATTTGAAAGATACGTTATAATTTTGTTATTTAACCATTCAATTTAGTTAGCAATCTTGTATATTAAAAATTAATAATTAAATTTTTCATTTAAATAAATTGAAAATTCTTTTCATTCGAGCAATGCAACTAAATATAGTTGTATAAAATTGAAGTACTAATGAATATTAAACAATAATTGCTGTTTACTGATTTGGAATAATTATTATCAAATCGAATTTATAAAATTAAGTGGCTTTAATTTTCTATAATAATCTTTTTGGAAATGACCGTAGATTCATTTACTTTTCAAAGAAAAAATTCAAACGAGTAATTAAAATACAGACACTTTCACATTGACATTTTCATGAAAATTTAAGAAGATCGTAGAGTAACGTTGAGCAAACAAAATATGCAGATTCTGTATTGTATTTCGTAAAGTGTCAAAATTAATTTGTATTTAGTACAGTAAAACGTAATTTGAAATAAATTTAATAAATACATTTAGTTTTTTAAACAAGCATTTTTGTTTGCATAAAATCGGCAAATTTTATGTTGTAGGCATTTACGGCGTAGTTTATCACATTATTAATTGCGACCTGTTCAGCCGTAATTTCCTCAATCGTCAAGGCATCGACGTTCCCGAGGGTCAAAACATGCCCCCAGATCCATATATACATAATCGCACTTGGAAAGAATCATTAGAATATCGCTATGCATCAACGAAAGATAAAGCAAATGCACTCGTTGATGATCAGCGCTACCGTTTTCTCGAATATGATCGTATGGTTCTGTCGTTTGAGGCTATATGGAATAATGATTTATATAAAATACAATATTACTTGTCGGATAATACAATTGCAATATTCGTACTTAGACATCCGAATGAGTCAAAAAAAATAGGTGGCAGTATGTTGCTGAAAAGAACTAAAGTCCCTAAGAATTGGAAAGATCTACCTTCAACATATCCAAGGATTTACGCAGAGAAGACGGAGGCGGATGTTAGTGAATACTATGCGCCAAGTGATCTACAGGTACGCGTTATCAGGAAATATAATACGGTCATTATAGTATATAAATTATTAATTAGAAAAATCATCATTTTTTTCTTCAATTATCTAAATCGAATAATAAAAATTCAAATAGTATTTATGATAAATTACTCGATATTGAGTTTCATTTTATCTTTCATTGGTGGTATAAAGTTATGATATTGTATATTAATTGAATGTTAATGAATTTGTTTAATTGATGGTTAAATTCATGAATCCTTTGAGTTCAAATGCAAGAAAATGTTAAACAATTTTAATAGGATAATTTATATATTTCTAGAAAATTAAAGTAAATTCTAAAAAGATATATCCAATTAACTAAATCAAATAACAATATAATGATTATGCCGTATTATATTTTATTAGTATAAAATTAAAAATTTTTATATAAGAAATTAATTTCCTCGACAGTTTTGTGCACTTATTAAATTAAATGTCTTGAAAAAGTAAAAATCCATTATAATAAATTAGAAAACATAATTCGCAAAAAAAAAAAAAAAAAAAAATATTTGCGATTAAGTTATTTCTTAAAGTAAATTAATTGTGTCAAACATGTATTTCTTTCTAAAATTAAAATGTCAAACTCCGTGCTAGTTTTTTATCTTAATTTTCTAACTAGACAATTATTCAATAGGTTGGCGAGACAATTTTCATCTTTGGTCGACGTTTCTTACTGTATGATTGTGATCTTTTCACACGCAAATACTATTCGGATATGCTGAGAATCGAGCAGCCAGAGCGAATAAATTTACCCGACAAAGTTTCGAATGTATATCCAGAGAGAACACCAAAGTCTATCGATTTAAAATCTGACAATAATAATCAAAATGTTATTCGCAAGCTCTACCATTTCCCAAAAAAGCTGCGCTATACATTGACAATGGATGTCGTGCATCCAGAAGACGAGGGTCGTGAATTCATTCTCGAGTACAGTTTAGCTGATGGCTCGATTCGGATAATTGAGCGTTATCAGTGTAATTCCGGTCGGATTCCTGGGTGCTTTTTAAATTGGATATGTGTCCCAAAGCCGGATAATACGGAATATTATACCCCCAATGATTTTCGCATTGGTGATAAAATAAATATCCTTGGGCACTGGTTCATTATTACGGGTACGGAGCTTTTCGTGTACAATTACGTATTGAGTAATCCGGAGAAATTTGATGAAAGCGTCCGGCAGAGTATCGAAGGGTATTTGAAACAACAAGGTTTAATCGACGAACCCAAACATTGTGACGAAGCCGAACCTGATAAAATAACAAATGAATCGAATAAAACGAATGAAACGAAATAAAATCTTCTCACAAATACTTCTAATTCAAGTGACCGAAAGATAACGCTTTAGTAATGTGTATCATCATGCCTAACAACAGTGAAATATTATCCTACATAATTAATTTTGGCTTATTAGGCTGGTATTATTGATTTTTCAATAATTCGGTATAAATAGTAATTTGAATAATTAACTATTTCTTTTGATAATAATAAAGTGAATTTATATGCGTGTTTTTGAAAATCTTATTTTAATCTTATATGAAAATCTTCAATAAATACCTCAATTGCAATATAATTTGACTAAACAGTAAGTCATTGTGATTTGTATAACACGTCAAATCTAATTTCTGAAAAGATGTTTACTTTCTTTCTTTAATAAAATTTTCTTTTAATCCATTTTTATTTATAGTGGCTACTATATGATTTTTTTCCAACATTTTTTAAATAAAAATTAATTTGAAATATATATATATATATATATATATATATATATATATATATATATACCATACAAGGAGGTCTTTCTTTTTTTAATCAGCATTTTTTAATTTGAATTATATATTATGTATGTGCAATTATAATAAATTTTAAAGAATTATATATATTAAATAGTGGTAGAATAAATTTGTTAATTTATAAAGGTGAAATACTAGTAGTGGATAGATTTGAATCTACTTTCATAGGATTTGTTCATATCATAGTATAACATTAAAAATTAAACTATAAAACATAAATTATCTTATATTGTATTAAAAATAATTATAATATTTTTTGATAAGTAATATCCAACCAGAAATACTTGTGCAATAGTTATAGAAATTAGTGTTTTTTTTTTATTGTTTTAGAGATAGTGCAATAAAACTTGTATTTAAAACAAATTGATGTATTTTAATATTTTATAGATTACAATTTTAGAAAATATTCTTTTTATATTATTAGTTAAGTAGAACATTGTATTGGCATTGTATTCAATTTTTTGTTAGTATATACTTTATTCTACTTTTGAATAGTAATCATCCGAAATATAACACATAGAGTTCCGTAAACGATATTTTCATTTTTAGTTTTAAATTTAATGAAATATTACTTTTTTTTTTATTTGAATATATACTCTCAATGAAATTAATAAAATCATTATATAATTCATGATCTATGAATTTGATTCAATTTGTTTTGAGATATTCCACTTTCTCTTGTGCCGTTTTAATTTCGTTAGAACTGAGTTGCCTTTTAATTACGTTTTTTGCAATTTATGTCATATTTAATGCTATCGCATTCTATTTATATTAGATGAAAAATCATATTTATAATAATTATTATATAATTCATTTTTAATCTGTGCTTTGTTTGAAGTTTAAAGCTTTATGCATCTATTAATTAAATCAAATAACGCTGAATTCAATTTTAAAATAACTATGTACATTCTTGTATCTTGCAGGAATGATGAGTTGTCAATATTATTTTATATTATGCTTTTTTTCCTAAGTAAAAGATAATTTAAAAGATTTCAAATTTATTAATCCAAAATTATGAAATATTATATCAATGAACTTTGCGTCGTGCATCATGATTTTAATATTTTTATATATTCAATTTTAAATGTGATTTCATACAATAAATACTTAAAATTATATATATTTTTTTTACTATATATTTTATGATTAAAATACAGATTAAAAAAAAAACAAACAAAAAACAATTATAAATTAATAGTATCAAATTACATTTAAATCAAATTAAAATATTTTACGTTTTGATGTTTAAAGATTTTTTTTTTGAAGAACAAATATAGAGTTTAGTTTTTGTTCTTGACAATAAGTTGAAAAAAAATTTATAGTAATTTTTTATTATCAGTAAACATTAAAATAATAATAAAACAAAAAAAAAACAAAAAAAAAACAACGGTAAGTACGATAATAGACATGTACAAATATCAATGCTACAAAACTTTTTTATACTTTTTCAAAGTAAACATAGGGGAAAAGTGTCATTTCAAATAGATATATTAGAATATTCACTTTTCTTAATTATTATAAATTATTAATATAACCTTCTAATACACTATTATACTTGCACATTTTCCTTTTATTATATTATATACAGTATTTCGGTTAGTATTAATAAACGTGTACTTTTTATAAGACAATTTCATTATTTAAGGATAATTTCTATTTAAATTTGTAATATTGTAATGTCAGTAATATCTTATTTTGTACTTGAATATTTTTGAAATAAAAAAATTAAATTAAAATATTGCAGATTGACAAAAATACTTCTTACGTATGAAATTTATATTTTTCCTAATATTGCGTGATTTTGAATCCAATTTTTTTATATAAAAAAATTGTAATTAATACCCATAAAATACTAAAATGTTATTAATTTATGATTGAAGACTAGAAGTAACATTTATTTCTGTGAAAATAGTATTGTTGATAATTTTTGTTAATTTTAATATGATCTAAGAGCTTATTATAATAATTTATTAAATTAAAATTTGCATCATTATTAAATTTCATTAAGTATATATTGAATTCTCAATTACCATTATTTAATAATATTTATTTTTTATTGGTATGTGATTTTCTGCAGTTCTTTGATACTTTTTGAAAAATTTATTAATAATTATAAAGTAATAATCATATTAGCATGAGTGAATATTTGATCGAGTAAATTTGAAAAAAAAATTCAAAGAAATTACATTTTAATAATACTGATATATTTCTAAATTCTAGAACTTTAATAATAATATTAAAAACAATACAATTAAATATTTAAGATATAAACCTTAAAATTGTGTTTGATGTATATATAAAAAAAACAAGCAAACTAATTTTTAATATAAAAAGTTATTTAACTCTTTGTAAAATTCTTATTTGTCAATGACATCTATGAAAAAATACTAAGTTTCTAGCTATTTTATATAATCATTATTTTAATTTAACATTATTTATTGTTTAAAATTGTCTAAATAATGTGTTATTCAATATTCCTTAATAAAAACATATTTAACGTGTATTTTTACAGATACATAAAATATATAAAAGTTTTGTAAAGTGTATTCTAGATTTTTTAATTACGATCAGTTAAGTTTGAGTTAAAACTCAATAAATATTTAGTACAAAAAATTAATTAAAAAAATTATATTATTTTGCTATGTAAATATTAAAAATAATGTAATATTTATTAACTTTTTGTATTAACGAGTCAAATGTTTAATATAAAAATTGTATAATAAGAATTTGTTTATAAATGGTAATTGAAAATAGATATAATTAAGCACTTTACGTAGTTATAAAATCTAGATGGATTAGGTAAGAAATTAAAAAAAAATGAAAAGTAAAATTAATTTTATGAAATTGATGCGTGTTAACTACATAAGATAAACCCACCAACGTTAGAATTTTCCCTTTATTTCACGCATTTCAGAAACGGCAAAGCAGGACTTGATACCATTGTTTGCCTTCAGAGTTAGTCATTTTCTATTTTCAGTTTACTTCGTAGTTTTTACAATCAACAATAAATCTTTTGCATGCCAAAAATCGCTATAACTAATGAATAAAATTAACATTCATTGTTCATTCTCAAAATTTTCTACTCTAAATATTGTACGGTAAGGACGTAAAATAAAAAAAAAAAAAAATAAAAAAAAAAGAAAAAAAAAGAAAGAATAATATTTAGCGTATTATTTTTGGAAAAGTGATAAATGATTTTCTTGCTGGAACATTTATATCATTTTTTTTTTTTTTTTTCATTACCTTAAGTATTTTGTTTTATTTTCTATTGTAACATATTAATCGGTAATCAAGAAACAAGATTATTAAATTTTTATGTTTTGGCTGTAATTGAAAATTAAGAAAATTATTAAAATTATTATGTGACAATATAATCAAGTCACATAGAGCACAAGGAAGAGACAGAGACAAAGGCCTACAAATTTTTATAAAAAAGATATTGTTCATTGTTGAAAATTTTTCTTCCTTCCTTTCATTCTGTCATTCTCTTTTAATGAGGTGAACTTGCTTATGAAGTTACAATTCTTTTTTCAAGATCTTTCTACATAGTTTGAGAAAAAATAATAACAGACATCAACAATAAAAACCATAAGTCGTGAAGTTTTTTTTCACAAAATGTTAAAATTATAATTATTCATAATCGCATCGATAATAATATAGTCAATGCAACTCCCATTATTTTCTTTGCTGCGCAGTGTCTTCTTTTTTATTTTTTTTTTTATTTATTTATTTTTTTTTTTATAAATCATTCTTTTTTGTAATAGTATGTATGCTTTGTGTTGTATCGTTATTTGCAGTTCAATAATTATTTTTTTTTTTTTAGGTATGCTCATTATACCTATACTTGCATTCTAATTCATTCTCCTGCATCATTACATATGCGCGCGCACGCGTGTGTATATTTCCTTATTGATTTTCTTTATTTCAAATCTTGTGTCCACAGAAGTTTCTAATTATATTAATATTAATGTCAATCGACACTCTTTTACTAATCGCTCGGTACGCTTATATATAGAATTTCTTCAAACATTTTCAACAAAAGTACGTTCATTAAGCATTATACAAGAGTTAGTGTCCACATCGTGTCGTAGTATTACAGTTCGCTCATTCGTAGTTCTCTCAATGTATTTCATATCATCAATCAGTCGGTGTCCTGTTTCCTATTTGCTACGCTTTTTTTTTACCTTGTTTATTCATTCATACAAAATGTATTCATTTTTGCATTTGTTTTATTTTTCGTTCTTTCATTTATAATTAGTTCAAATATTTTTGTATCATTTTAATAAACACCGTTTAGCAATAAGAGTCAACGCACACATCGACAACACCACCGCACTATTTAATTCTTTCATTTTTCAATGGTATTCTCTGGCTCATGTTGCTGCTTCTGATCCACATAGCGATTACGTTTAAATGAAATACAGGATTACTTGCAAGGCTCAGCGTGATGCTAATTATTATCATCGTCATCATCGACATTATCGATGTACAGAGGACTGATTTTTTTATGATTGCGGCGGTTAGATGGAGTAGCTCACTACTCGGAGAAACTGAAAAAGCAGTATGATTCATTTCCCTTAGTTCAAAACTAGCGTGGGTAGTAACGAAGCTCTTGACCAGTCGCTGCTACTGATGTGAACCTCCTCTACCTCTTCCACGATAATCTCGGTCCTTGAAAGCAATAAATACAAACAGACAATCAAATATACTTTAATAAATAAATGGCACTCTAAGCATCTAAGCTTACTGTACGTACTGACTACCATTGATTTAGCTACTTTAATTGCTGATGTTAGTCTGTAAATTATTATTGAGCAGCAAATTATTTTTCCTTCCTTTTCAGAATTTAATTCTATGAATTTCAATGTTATTGATACGAGTATTTAGGCGCAGAAAAGCCCGCTTAAATATAATTGTACAAATTAAAAAGTTAATTATTTAACAATAAATTTAATAAGAGCATTGAAAAAATTGCAATTCCTTTTAAGCCAATACATATACATATATATATTACATATTAATTATATAATAATACAGTATTGCATAAATAGAAATAAAAAGAATAAAGCAGTCAGTTTTAATATAATTTTTTACTACATTGGTAATAAGCTTTAAATATACTCGGCAAAATGATATCGCAACTCACTCTACGTTGATGATGTAAATGATGATGGGACGGCGGTCCATGATGATGGTCCCTTGGGGGTATATCATTCGGATGAGGTCCCCTTCCACCTCCGCCGCTTCCGCCAGCCCTGTGATTAGACGGTGGATGATGCTGTATTGCACTCGGAGTGGGAACTTTGCGTTGATTTTCTTCTGCCTGACGTCTCTCATAATGCCCGAAATCATCGAAAATACTTGTTGAATGCCGATAGCTATGCAAAATTCGTAAGACCCGTACACCTTTAGCGTGTGGTACTTCTTGAGCGTCGCGAGAATTCGTCACCGATTTATTGTCATTATTTTCTAATTTAATATGCCGCAATTCGCCATTAGGTACGTCCTTTACATAAATCCAGCGCACCCGAAATTGACCTTTCCATTTGTCTTGCGACCATACCGAACTGTTGCTGTTATAGTCTACCGATGATACCATTTGCGCCATACCGCAAAAATGGCCGGAACCATTTACAGAGAAAAAGAGGTAAAGAGGCGCAGTTTCACGGGATGCCTCATGATAAGCCAGATCTAATCGCTTATTTCCATATTCCGTACTACACCAGATTTCGTACTTTATTGATCTGTGTATATCATCCTCTGAATAGGATTTAATTACAAAAAATCGAGCACCCTGTGCTGTTTGATCAAAATCCACTGGATTGTAGTTGTTCTTCACTTTCAATTCATCCAACACAGGGTGTGATAGATTCTGAGTACTTAGTTGTTGTTGTTGTTGTTGTTGTTGTTGTTGTTGTTGTTGTTGTTGTTGTTGTTGTTGTTGTTGCTGCTGTTGCTGCTGTTGTTGCTGTTGCTGCTGATGATGTTGCTGTTGTTGATGTAAAGGTGGAGCAGGATGTTGATGCTGCTGTACTGGATGCTGTTGTTGATTTTGTAAATGATGCTGGTTTTGTAAATAGTCGATTAAAATTATATAAACAATAATTTATAAATCTTTAAAATAGTTTTAAATTCAAAGTTCAGAAAGTTGTATTAGTTTTAATTTGTTTTTTAATCTTCACTTTTTAACTTGTACTTTCTAATCTTTAAGAAATTTAATAAAGTAATTTAATTTTAATAAAATGATTTAATAAAATAATAAATAATGAATAATACTGAACAGATTAAAATCTTACATTTTGATTGGATGGCTGGGAAGGTGAAAACTGCTGGTGCACCGATTGATGATGCATGGCTTGTAATTGCGCCGATGGCGAAGGTGGACTCTGTGGCTGTCTATTCCAACATGTTGACACTGATGGTCCTGGTGCCAGTCCTCTTTGTTGCTGTTGCTGCTGCTGCTGCTGTTGATGTTGATGTTGATGCTGTTGTTGCTGATGCTGCTGTTGTTGGTGTTGTTGGTGTTGTTGCTGATGATGATGATGTCTTTGCATGGCAACTGCTCCCGTGGGAATTGGTTGCGGAGATGGCATTGGTGCCTGGACTGCAGGTGGCGAGGGTGGAGGTGGAGCTTTAGGAGGAGGCACCGATGCTTTACCCTCGCCCCAAGTACCAATATCCATGTTGTGTTTACCAGGAATGATGGGAGGTGGAGCGATACCAGTCTTTTTCTTTGTACCCTGAGTAGAAGAAATAGGGGGTACTGGCTTTGCTGGTTGACTTGCCACACTTGCCCACGTTATTTTACGAGGTTCTTTGGGTTCCAATTTTGGTGGCACAGTGGAGACTGTTGGAATTTGTTGTTGCTGTTGCTGTGGTTGTTGTTGATCCTGTCTTTGTACCTATAATGTCAATCGGTTATTTATTGCAAAAAAAAAAAGTCAAAATAATTTGAAGATTCATACTACATGTATATAAATTACTTTTGTAAATATGATAAATTAACTTTCATGAAAATTAAGGATAAAAGAAATTATTATGACTTATTAAAATAGTTGCTTGTATGTTGAAAATTTAAATACTTCTATTCTATCAATTACTACTGAATGTATATATTTACTTGCTGTTATATATATATTTACATGTACCTTGCTGCCAATCGATAATCCCTGGACCCCTTGGTCTATTGATTTTCCATCACCAATGCTGGAACCCCCATAATTATCTCCACTGCGATGTTGATAATAGTCTTCATAACGTGCCTTTCTAGGTGTACCCCACGCACTAAAGTCACCATTACCATGAAAATAATTGGGAAAAGTAGGCTGACCAAAGTTACCAAAACTACCTCCTGCATTGGTGGAAAAGACACCTTCCATACCATAAGCATCATGGCTTATTTGTCCACCATAGCCAGGTAAAAAGGTTACGGGATCGGTACCGTTCGACCAAGTACCATCACCAGCTCCAAAAGTTTGATACTGAAAAGATGTACCAGCATAATATGGACTGTAGTGGTCATTGCCACCACTACCAATTGGATAGCTAGAGTGGTGTTGAGTGCTATTGCCACCACGCCAGGATTCAAAGCCAATGTCCTCTCCGGTCGAATGCTCGCCAGGTTGTTGTGGATGTTCCTTTGGACCATTGCTCACTACGCATGCGCAAAAAACAATGAATTGTAATTGAAAATTTTTAGTTAATAATTATAAATAGTTTAAAAAATTTTATAAATATGTATTATAAATATAGAGAGTCTTTATTCAAGTTATGAATTATATTTCTATATTAAGTAATGTAATAAGTATTATCAACCTTATATATAAAAATTGGAAATTTAATAAATGATTTTAAAAATTTATTATAAAAGTATACACAAAAATTAGATTAAACGTAAATACAAAATCATAACTTAATTACTTAAACATAAGTTAATTAAATATAATATATTATAAGCAATGACTTTAGTAAAAATTATAAAAATAACGATCTGAGATTTTAGATATTACACATATGATATGTTTCTGTAATAAAGAAAATTTAAACACATTTTTAAAATTTAGGTCAGCTTTTAATACAAGAATTATTTTATTTGACTTTTTTTATTTTATTAAATTCTATAGATAATAAAAACAATGAACATATAAATGTGTGTGTGTGTGTATATATATATATACATATAGACATATATATATATATATATATATATATTATATATTTTCAATTACAAATATAAATATAAAAAAAATTAACTATGTTAATAATAAAATATTCATATATTAGTTGTTTATACAAACAATATTTTTTATATGCAATTTATTAATTTTTTTGCCAACCGTATATATAAAATAAATCCCAATAAATCTCGAATATCAAGGTAAATACAAATTTTCTTCAATCTATAAATTACTTATGATATATACAAATGTAGATTAAATGATAATATTAAATATATAATAATTTTGTATAAAAATATTAGAAAAGCTTAACTATATCATTATTTATATGTTATTTTTCTTAAAGCAGAAGTTAGTTGTTATTGGACAAATATTTTTTATTTATTGAATTTAAGAATATTATCCTATTCTTCGATGTTTGTTCATTTAATTTTATTATAGTAACTATTTAAATGTTTATATCTATGTCCAACTATGAAATACATATATTGAAAGGTAGTTTATGAGATTGTACATAAGATTTGTTTGATTATCATCCTTGAGTTAGAAATAGTCAAAGTCAAATTTATTTAATCCAGTTAAAAGAAAACAGAAAAAATTGTCCTTGAATTTTTATACAAATTAATATATTTGAGTATCAATATTCATCCTATTAAATGGCATTCGATCATATTCATATTCTCATTTCATTAAATGTTAAAAATTCAATAAATCCAATGATCTTGGATCAAGATCAATGTATTGCATTTTCCTTGCATAAGATCAAGGTGCCAGTGTCATTAAAAGAAGAAAAAAAATACCGAGTTTTGGTTGCTCACCTTGACTGTTCGATTGCCCCTTCATCCGCTGCATTCCGTAGCATGGAAAAGCATACAAAGTCCTCAGCGGGTGATCGATTTTTCGTCCAAAAATCCGTAATGATTTAGTATATGCGGTGATAGAAAAGTAAAGATACATGCACATACACCAGCGCGCGTACACCAACGCAAATATATAGTCTGTGTGAGCACAATCTAATGAGCGAAAAGCAACAGCCGGCGTATGGAAGGTCAGGTAAAAGTATCAAGTCTGTAGTTATAAGAAATTAGGAGAGACAAGAATACTGTCGGCGACGAGCTGGTCGTCCAGGTGTTCCAGCTGACATAACCTCTCTAAAACCCACATACGTACGTGCTCACACACGCGCGCGCGCGCGCGCTACACGACACTTACGAACAGGAAGATCCAAACCAATCAAGTCCTTATTCGGCTCTGCTTTTTCTTCCCGTCTTGTGATATCCTTTTTTCTTCCTCGTTAGAAGCGCCCACGCGCCGCGCGGGTCGTATTCTCTTTTTTATTTCTCTGCTACGTAATGTCAACACATTCGTGCACGCATACCCACACAATTTTCGCGCGTCTCGCAATATATACCTCCGTGTGAACGAAACGGAGAAAGAGCGATGCAATATAATTGGCATATACGAGATAGGACAACGGTTGCACATACACTTACGTGCGTACGGGCACACACATGCAGACGAGTGCAGTGTCGGCACGCAGCTTTCTTGCCTCTTGTCGATAGATTTGGATCTTTAAAAGTATATATATGTAGCTTTGTCTTTGTCCTCGACGGCGCGAATTCTGTGCGCGAATGGGCTGATATGCCCTTTATCACTTCGGGGGACGATTCCTTTTTCGAACTATGGCTCCGTTCCTTCTTTCTTCACACTATATTTTCTTCTCCTTACCACTCTTTACCTCCTCTTCACCACTATACTTTCAACTATGAAAGTACCTACTACCTATATAAGACTGATAGATATAACATGTGTCTGCGGTAGATTCTACAGTGGCGGCCGATCAACAGTTTATCGAGAGCACCTATAAATTTAATTAGCTTACTGATTTTCTTTGCTCGTTGCGTGCCTATAGTGCTTGCTTGAGAAAAATAAATGTATTGGCTAATTGGTAAAGTTTATTCGATTATATACGCATGTGTAAGATAATACCTTAGATTATCCTATAGTTTGGAATGCATACTCACTCGTTCTAGATGCATATGCATATGCATATACATGCATGCATGCGTATGTCACGCACTTACATCGGCGCATGCATTCACTCACGTGTGCATATGTACATATGCGCACACACGCATATATATATACATACATACATACATACATACATATATATATATATATATATATATATATATATATATATACGCGCATATGCGTATATGCGTGTGTGGGTGTGGGTGTGTGGGTGGCATTGCTTGTTTTGCATGGGTGAGCACTCACGAGTAGATGAGTATGCACATGTGTGACTGCATAGATTGAAAAATTGGCAGTGACGTTACCATAAGATGGCGCTCACTCGTTCGCGCCTCTTTATATATGTTTAAATATTAAGCAGCCTTAATCAATGATACGGGCTTCATTTAATTGATTTATTTATTTCACTATAAATATGAGCAACATTTTAACACAGAAATATTAACTAATATTAATATTAATATAATAAAAGTGCAACATCAATCTATGAATTTTAATTAATAATACATGCAATGCACATATTTCACGTTTTGTAGAAGATATTTCTCTTTCATTTATATACCGAAACAAGTATTTTAATTTTAATTTCCAAGATTTTCATTCCATTAATTCTAACATATATATATATATATTTGATATATCAATGTTTTTACAGTATTTAAATGTTTCAATTCCTAAGTTCTATATTATTTTTTCAAATACAAGTTCTTGCATATAAGAATAGTAAATCATTATCATATATAGAATATTGGCCATTTATAAAAATCTTTTATAAAGAATACAAAGAATTATTTAAAATACTTTTATTTTTTCACTATATCTTTAAAATTATATTATTCAAATTGAAGATAATTATAATATAAATCATATGGAAGCATAATATTGTGTTATTAAAGTAAACTATAGGAATCTTGTACATAAAGACACAAATAAAAATTCAATTCATAATTTATAGTTATCAAATTCTACGAAATTCCAGCTAAATGTAATAGAATAATTTATTAATGTTCGTTTTAAAGATTAAAGTATATGCTAAGTTTTTTAATCAATTTATTGTTAAAAACTAAAATTAATTTATTAAAAATATGATTTTAAAAAATGACAAAAGGTCTTTTATTTTACAAAAATCGTGTACTTATAAAATAATATTAATATTTGCGATTAATAATTCCAAATTCCTATGTCAACAGTCGCAAACTTTAATAATTATTTTTTCCTTTATTTCCTTTGTTTTCAAACATATAAATTTATAATTCATATAAAACCGCATTATAATGAATTATAATGAATAGTAATTAATTAATTCAAATATAAGAAATGTATTAGTTCGTTAAATACTTTTATCCATGGATATTCCTTTCCCTTATCACATTAATGTTGAGACTATTATCAAATATATATTTTTATATTGTTTAAGAAAGTTATTGAAAAATGAAAATTATAAAAGGTACATTTAACATCTTCGAAATGCAAGTTAGTACCTTATACAAGTATATTGATAAAGCAATTGCTGACTTTAAAGTATTTAATCTTCCTAGCTCTTAAAGTATCAAATTTGATGAGTTATGCCAAAACAGCAGAAAATATTAGTATTGACACTTTCTAGGAGCAGGTACACGAAGAATAAACGAAAAGTTAAATGACAGTTAAAATGGTTACAAAAAGAAAATGAATGCAATAAAGATAATATATAAACATTATTTCTTATTCTTTTATTTTTCATAGAATTCGTATTGCGATAAATTGAAATAAGTTAAGAATATGCATTATTAAAAAAGTTATTAAAATAATTAGTACATCGAATAATATACAATAAATAGTAAACAAGAATGTTATACACATACGTAGCTGTAGATTATAATGAAAAATTGTATGAAATGCTTTAAATTTGTGACCTGATTTTCAGAATAATTAGTTATTATCAGATGTGGAGCATATAAATTGTTGAAAAAATATTTTATACACAAAAACACCGTGTTTTTAATCATTTTTAATTGTCATTAAAAAAAAAATATATATAATGTTGAATATTAGATTTTTTAATGTATTTCATTATATATCTTAATGAACCTTATTATTTTGAAATAGTATTTTACGTTAATAATATAATTTTTAATTTACTTTTAATGTAATTAGTCAATGCATAATGGTATATATGTATATGTATATGTATATGTATATATATTTTTGTTGTTGTTGAAAAATAATAAAAATATTAATAATTACAAGTATTTTGATTAAATATATAAATATTCTTAATTTAAAAAGCACAATATCAAAGATGTATAATAATTTTTTACCTATTTTATTATGATTTAACAGATTTTCTTCGTTAAGGTAGCGTGTATAATTAAGTGCACACAATATATAACCAATCTTTGCAGGATTTTTTTTTTTTTTTAAATTAATCTTAAATTATACAAATAAATATAAATAAGTAAGGGAAAAATTTAACCATAATTATATAAATACATTATTGTATCACATATAAAATTTATTAAAATATATCATTTACAATATTAGAAACAAATTATTTTGTATTAAGATTTGTTATTTTTAATAACTGGGTAAATTAAAAACGCACGTTATTATAAATATAAATTCATAATCATAAATACTTATTATTTAAATATTGTACATAATGAATTACGAATAAATGTAATAGATAAACGCATTACATTACGATATTATTAATAATTAAGACAAACATTGTAAAAGTTTTTTTTTGAAAATTGTAGTTTTAAAATTTCGTACGATTTCAACATTTTTCTGTCTACTTTCCACGTTGATTGATTCAACAAGTACCGAACCTTTAAAGGGTCCGCAATTCACTGCAGACAACTTTGCTTCTAAAAACGTCGTTACAAGATCTGGCCAAAGTAATATTGATGCTATAATTGTATCAGAAGTAAACCAGGCTTTTGTTTTTTTTAAAGCTACAGCTTCAATTTTATTTAAATATTGTATGACTTGTGAATTGACATTTCCCAAAATATCTGTTCGCCATTTCTTAAAAATTAAAAATGAATCGATAACACTATAATGTTAAAACAAATACAAATGTAAGATGAATACCTTTGCAATTGCTTCCTTTAATACGACATCCCAAGGTAGTATAAGAATTTTTCGATTTACCGTTGAATTGAAAAATATTGCATTGCTATCAGGATCTAATCCGAAATTAAATTCTATGTTTGGATTTATTTTACTTTGCATTGATTCGTCTATTATTGATCCCATAACGTAGAATTTGTTGATTCGTTGAGTAAAATTGGAATCCAAAGACGCTGCCAATGCTATATTTGTTAAAGCTCCTAGCGTTAAGATATTTATGTCATCTGCAAAATAAAATATCTACACAAATTATTTTAAGAAGACGATAAAAAAAACTGTAGAAAATTACAAAATCTAAGTTATTACAATTTTTTTTTTTTTAAATAATTAAATTGTGTTTATAATAATAATGTATGATTATTCTGGTACGAAATCTTTTCGATAATTTGAGATTTAATTATAATTTGACAAGGTCAAATTATGACATTACAGCATACTAAAAACTTTTGAAATACATAACAGTACTTGTACTGTAAAATTTTGTCAAATAATTTGCAAGATTAACCATATATTAATAAACGTTATTTATTGAATAAATTATTTGAAGTATTATTATTATAAGGAATATTATTTCATAGAAAATTACAATGAGAAATATTGTATTGTTCACAATGTGAAATATTACTTTATTAAGAAGATCGTATTGACTTATCGAGCTTATCAATAAAGCTGAAATTTATTTACTTTACCTTAAAAATAAAAAAAAAAAAGTAAGGAATATATCTTTTATATTATTAAACTTTTATAATTTTTTATTTATACAATTTTCACGTACGTATAGTAATTTGATTGCATACTCTTCCTCGTCGTGTATGCCATACCCTCCCGTGTATACACCAAATTCTATAGTATTTTTCATATTATGTAAAAGAATTTAATATGTATTTCGACAGTTTTTAAAGTACTATCGTTGCAATTTAAATTGAAATTGATCGTGATTGCAACTTAGATTAAAAATAATAATAAATTGAAATTTTAGCAAACAAATTAATGTATTTACCCGAATATGCTTTGGATAATTCGATTATTGCAATGGAGGCATGTTTAGATCTATCAATAGTGGCAGTTATGTTTTTATCAAATTGAAAATCACCAAAGCCATCGTTACCAAAAAAGTTGTCTCGTGAATAATTTTTAAGCAAAGGCTTGGCCGATCCTCCATAAACAGGAATCTAAAATTAAATTAAAATATTAAATAAAAATTATTATCATAAAAGTAAACAACTAATAGTTATGTAAAATAACATTTCGGGATTTATTTATAACTCATATTACTAATGGAATTCTATTTATAAAAAATCATTTTTAATTTTGTATTCCAGATTTATCTATAATATTTGGATTTTTTTATTTTTCAGTCTATTATGAAATATAATTTATTATTTAATTAAATCCGACAAAATTATATTTCAAAAAGATATTTCAACTTTATCTGACAAAGAAAATAAAATGAAAATTTTTAATAAAAAAAAGCTTAGAGATTTATATATTAAATGTTGGTTACGTAATACGTAGAATACCAACTTAATAGCAATACTGGCTTATATTACTTAGGAATTATTAATTAAACATGTTATAATTCCGATGAATAATTAAGATTATTATTATTAATGAAAGAACATAGTAATTCAACTTACGTCAGTGCGATTAGCAATGGTCAGAATTTTTAGAACATTATTTTCTACATTTTTTTCTTCCGTATTGCCATAAACACAAGTTATGGCTATAATTTGGATATTTTTATTGGCTAATAGTAAAAATATAGCAACAGCATCGTCACCACCAGCGTCCGTATCTATTATAAGTTTCATCGAATTATTGTCACTCGTACATGATTCTTTACTGCAATAAGAATAAAGTATATTAAAATTTTTAATCGGTTATTGAATCGATTATATTAATTATAACGTATTAAAAGGCAATGTTAAATAAAATTATTGAAAAATTGATAAAACTACTTTGTTTTTAAGCAGAAAATGAATTTTAATTGGAGATCGGATAATCAAATATATTTTTAAATAATAGCAATAAGTTAGCTATTCAGATTTAAAACCAATAAATTGAAATAAATTGATAAAAAAAAGTGGTATCCCGATGTTGGTTCTAGGTAAGTTTGTACCCATCTTGATGGATCTGTATGGATTCTAGTTTTAATGAAACATTTGATAGTACAGTTTGGATAATGTATGTACGTATCATAATGTATATGTTCTTTTTTTTTATATATTGAATTATTTATACATGAAACTGAGTTATCAACATCATGTAGATACATGTTTTAATTAATTATATATTCAGGAATTGTGTATCAAGATTGCAATTTGTAAAGACATTAAAAATTTAATTACAGGGTTAAAAATTGAATCTCATCAAGGTTTATCTAGAATTTTTTTATTATTAATATTGAAAATTATCAAGTTTATATTATCTCTATAGCTTTATGGTAATAATTGCTTTTAATTTTAAATTATTACATTCTCTTGTAGTTCCTTGATATTATTGATAAGCGATTACTTTGCTTGTTCTTAAGTGTTGATGTTAGAGGATTTCCTGATGACCCACTGGATACAATGTAATCTAATTAATCTAATTTAATTTCAAATGTTTGAAATACAGAAATTTTATTGTAATTCTTATCTACCTTTACTTTACAATTATTTGAATATTGTTTTGGACGGTTTGCGATTAACGGCTCAAAATAAAATATCAAACGTATAAATAAATGGTGAATAAATTTTACCGCTTAAATTGCCTAAATTACTTTTAATGATGATAAATGCATAGTGTTTACATAAATAAAAAGAGATATAATAAAAAAAAAAAAAATATATATATATATATATATATATAAAATATAATATAAAATTTAATTAATCATATAAATATTTGTTTTATTTCTCGCGCATTTATTATATTTATCAAACTCGTGTGCGTTATCATTAAAGTTTCAAGTCATTACAAATTTACGATCAGTATAATAGCGATATTTTTGTGACAAAAAAATCACTATACAACTCTATACAACACTATACACTATACTGTAATTCATTAGGTATAATTATCATTATAAAAATTTAAAATAACATTACAAAAGATTATTATATAATTGATTTATATGTGAAAGGTAGATGTTGATTATTTAATCAGCACAATTAATAGTATAAAACGGAAATACGGCAAATTTCATTGGGTGAGAAAATAGTGACTGGGAGAGGAAAGTTTCATACTATTTTTCAATGGGATATTTAGTATATGTAGGTGCGGCGCTAAGCCAAATGGTTTATCAATTTTTAGGTAGAAGCAATTAGACATGCTAGAAGGGGAAGCTTATAACCTGTTTAACTTCCATATCTTTCACTGCAGATTCCAATTTTATCTGACATGTAAAGCGGTAAGCAGCGGAAACTCTGCATTACTAAGAAATTTGATAAGATTCGAAATGTGATATATCTATTTTCAAAATAAAAAGATTTTCATAATTGCTTAGATATTTATTAGCTAATCTTTTAGGTTCAGATAATTTGTAAGAAAATGAAAATTACAACAGGGAGATGAAATTTTTTTTTTAAAAATTACAATTATTATTATTATTTTTTTTAATAACTATCAAGTATAAAGGGAAGCATTATAATTACAATTTAGAATGAAAGTAGATATTATTTCGACATTGAGGTAC